ACACACACTACAAACAAAACAAAACACGGGAAGGAAATCCATTTTCCCATTATAGCTTAACCACGACAATGTTGTTGTTTGCTTCACTTTGAATTCATGCATATTCATTGTATATGTCTTTTGTTTTGACAGAAAAATTAGCTGTACGGTACCTTGAAGCATTCACAATCTGCTCCTCTCACAGTGGCGACCTCCCACTTTCTTTGTCGACACACCATGTATTTAAAATGTATTTTTGGCAAGAGGTAGACTAGTCCTGTCGCCAGCAAATATTACTTGATGTTATCGCATTTGCATCTATACTAATTTATACATGTATGAATGGTGCAAGTTTGTTAACCCAATTGTATTAAACACTTCACGCTATCATGTATAATATGACTATTAAACACTTCCCACCAACACGGAGAGCCACGATTGTCAATTTTCCAGATACTGAGGGGTTGGTGTATGACACCAGCGCGGTAATAGTCACCATGACGCGTTTCTCCTCCACCCCACCCCCTCCCAAAAGAACTAACTAACTAACTAACTAACTAAATAAATAAATGAATAAACATTTTAAACAAGAATATGTAATGAGGCGTTAAGACGAACTGATGCTATGCGGGGCAGACTTGTGAAAAAGTAAGGGGGCCTAATACTTAAACATAGACACCCCCCCAACCCCCCACCCCAAAACAAAAAACAAAGACAAAAACAAACAAACAACAACAACAACAACAAAAACAACAACAAAAGCGCCACTAGACCAACCCACCTTCTCCTTTGTAATTCACCTTATTCGCTTCTCTGTCAGTGCACGGACACTGCAATATGCCGAAACGTCGCATAATGGAAGAAACTTATAATTTGAGTACGGAGAAGACTAATTATGACCCACATAAAATCCTTCTTGACCCGTTATACCAACACATTGACGAATGTTTTGTTGGTTTTTTGCAAGGAAATCAGTGCATACAAATGGAATTAGCTTTTGTTTACCCATTTCAGATGAAAATTCCCAGATTTCTTCTGTCGAAACAAATGCAATAAGACAGTATTTGCGTAAAATTCTGTTCAGTAAGAAATCGAGAGAAATGGGAACACGTTCTAAATAAAAACAAAATCTTGCCTTCATTTCCCCCAATTTACTAAATGCGTGTGGCTTCTATCCCAACTTCCACAGGATAGCTTGACCCAAGGCTAATGCAATCGCAAAGATACGTGAATAACATTGTTTCACATTGCAGGGATAGGGACTACATTGTGTGTGTGTGTGTGTGTGTGTGTGTGTGTGTG